ACTGTGACAGTTGTGTCATTGATTTTCACACAAGGATTGAAAAGGATTGAAAAGGATTGAAAAGGATTGAAAAGGATTGAAAAGGATTGAAAAGGATTGAAAAGGATTGAAAAGGATTGAAAAGGATTGAAAAGGATTGAAAAGGATTGAAAAGGATGAAAAGGAGTGAAAAGGAGTGAAAAGGAGTGAAAAGGAGTGAAAAGGAGTGAAAAGGAGTGAAAAGGAGTGAAAAGGAGTGAAAAGGAGTGAAAAGGAGTGAAAAGGAGTGAAAAGGAGTGAAAAGGAGTGAAAAGGATGAAAAGGATGAAAAGGATGAAAAGGATGAAAAGGATGAAAAGGATTGAAAAGGATTGAAAAGGAGAAAAGGATTGAAAAGGATTGAAAAGGATTGAAAAGGATTGAAAAGGATTGAAAAGGATTGAAAAGGAGTGAAAAGGAGTGAAAAGGATGAAAAGGAGTGAAAAGGAGTGAAAAGGAGTGAAAAGGATTGAAAAGGATTGAAAAGGATTGTGAAAAGGAGTGAAAAGGAGTGAAAAGGAGTGAAAAGGAGTGAAAAGGAGTGAAAAGGATTGAAAAGGAGTGAAAAGGAGTGAAAAGGAGTGAAAAGGAGTGAAAAGGATTGTGAAAAGGAGTGAAAAGGAGTGAAAAGGAGTGAAAAGGAGTGAAAAGGAGTGAAAAGGAGTGAAAAGGAGTGAAAAGGAGTGAAAAGGAGTGAAAAGGAGTGAAAAGGAGTGAAAAGGAGTGAAAAGGAGTGAAAAGGAGTGAAAAGGAGTGAAAAGGAGTGAAAAGGAGTGAAAAGGAGTGAAAAGGAGTGAAAAGGAGTGAAAAGGAGTGAAAAGGAGTGAAAAGGAAAAGGAGTGAAAAGGAGTGAAAAGGAGTGAAAAAGGAGTGAAAAAGGAGTGAAAAGGAGGAGTGAAAAAGGAGTGAAAAAGGAGTGAAAAAGGAGTGAAAAAGGAGTGAAAAAGGATTGAAAAAGGATTGAAAAAGGATTGAAAAAGGATTGAAAAAGGATTGAAAAAGGATTGAAAAAGGATTGAAAAAGGATTGAAAAAGGATTGAAAAAGGATTGAAAAAGGATTGAAAAAGGATTGAAAAAGGATTGAAAAGGATTGAAAAGGATTGAAAAGGATTGAAAAGGATTGAAAAGGATTGAAAAGGATTGAAAAGGATTGAAAAGGATTGAAAAGGATTGAAAAGGATTGAAAAGGATTGAAAAGGATTGAAAAGGATGAAAAGGAGTGAAAAGGATGAAAAGGAGTGAAAAGGATTGAAAAGGATTGAAAAGGATTGAAAAGGATTGAAAAGGATTGAAAAGGATTGAAAAGGATTGAAAAGGATTGAAAAGGATTGAAAAGGATTGAAAAGGATTGAAAAGGATTGAAAAGGATTGAAAAGGATTGAAAAAGGATTGAAAAGGATTGAAAAGGATTGAAAAGGATTGAAAAGGATTGAAAAGGATTGAAAAGGATTGAAAAGGATTGAAAAGGATTGAAAAGGATTGAAAAGGATTGAAAAGGATTGAAAAGGATTGAAAAGGATTGAAAAGGATTGAAAAGGATTGAAAAGGTATCATTGACTATGGACATGTCACAATATGTCACATACCGTGCGATACATGCCATGTGTGCGAATCTATGGAGATTCTCTGATCATCGCCAAGTAAATCTGTATCTCACCCAATGGCGGCATAGTGACATGGCTGTCTCCAACGATGATTCAGGTGATTCAGGCTGGAAACCACAAACACCAAGAAATAAATGCTGCTTTCCCAAAGAACCCTTTCTCATGCAAGAAATATCTTCACTATCATGACTCGAAAACAACGATTTTTTCATGTGTCCAAAAATATAGTATAGTAGCCCAAGAATCCAGTGGTCCATCATGGCTCATCAAACATTTCCCCCATGAGAATTGCCCTGCTTGGTGGGGTGTGACTAAACCCATGCGGCATGCGTTTCTGCCAAGGAACCCAATCCAGCAGGAGCTCTCACAGAAGGAGCAAGGCCCAGATGCAAAAAATCCAGCACCAACGAGCCTGGCTCTAAGTGAGCACAGCTGTGCAGCGACAAGGAAAATCCCAAGGTTGCGCGATCCAGAACCAATGGGCTCAAACCTGACCGACCACTTCCAAAGAGCAACATGGCAGGACCAAAACATGCGGAGCTGTGCAGGAACATTGAACTACCTGGGTATGCACAGTCAAGCGTAAGCAATGCCAAGCCCAGTCGTGCCATAGATTGTACCAACAATGTCGAGCCCAAGTTTACGCAATCCAGGATCAACAAGAAGCTTCCCAGCCTGACACATCCAAAGACAGAGAATGGCGAGTCTTGGTAAGCAAACTCGTGCAGTGACAAGAACAGTTCCAAGTGTGATGCATCCAAGACCAGCAACAGGAGACCTGAACAAGAAAAGCTGCGTACAAACAGGAGAGGATCAAGAAGTGCAGAGTCGGGAACCGACATGAGAGAACCCAGTTTGGTGCAAGAGAAGGTTGACAATGGGAATCCCATGCCACCAAGGCTTCGCAGAAATGATGTGAATCCAAGCTGAGCGAGATCAGAGGCCAACAAGTTGAAGTCTGATTGAGCGGAAGATCGCAAGAACAGGGCACTGTCCAAATGAAGGGAATCCATGACCAATGGCAGGAAGCCAAATCGTGTGCAGGAGAAGATTGATAGGAACAGTTCCAGGTTGGCAGGGCTTTGAGCAAACAACAACAGTCCCGGATGAAGGAAATCCAACACCAACAAAGCAGATTCGAAGCAAGCGAGGCCAAAGGTTGAGATATCCAGACCTGGACGTACCATAGATCTCGCCAGCAGTGCCAAACCCAAGCTTGTGACATCAAAGACCGGAATTGAGAAATCAAATCTGGCACAAGACAACATCAACATGGCGAAGTCGAGGCGGGCGGGGCTTTGAAGAAACATCAAAGAGTCTGAGTAAAGAAAATCAAGCACCAGCACCAAGGGCCCTAAGCACGCCCGAGCGCATGCGGAAAAAGCTGAATCTGGACAGGACATGCTACGGGCCAAAGGTGGAAAGCCAGGACGGACAAGGTCAAGCGCTGAAACTACAGAACCAAAGCAAGTGAACCCCCTGGCCAACGCAAAGCTTCCAAGTGTTGCAAAGTCAAACACTGGCAGTAACAATTCCGTGGTCACCTTGGACAAAATTGGAAAGGCAGAGCCTGCAGTGAGGAAACTTTGGGGTGACGCCAAGAAGTCCAGGCACAAGTAGTCCAGCACTGATGATGAAGAGCCAGATCGGGCTTTGCTCCAAACCAAGAAACTCAACCCTACTTGTGTGTAGCTTCGCATGGACGTGCCAAATCCAAGGTGCAGAAAGTCTAGTACAAGCGATAACGATTCAAATCTGGCCCTGTCGAAAGCTGGCATGGGCAGTTCAGCTTTTGAAACAGATTGCAGAAACATCATGAAATCAAGGTCCGCCATGTCAAGGACGGATAGTGTAAGTCCCAAACAAGTAAAGCTGTGGACAGGCAAAGAAGACGCCAGGTAAGCAGGGTCCAATGCAGACAAAAAGAAATCTAAGGTGCTTCTGGCAAAAATCAACGGAAACAAATCTGGCTTTGCGAAGCTCTGCACCAAGAGGTTAAAGCCGAAGCACGCCCAGCCAAAGGTTGATGCAATGAAACCCAGCCGAGCAAACGACCGGATTGACAGAGAAAAGCCCAGTTCAGCGATATCAAACGCTGGCAGCATGAAGTCGAGACGCGCAAAGGCAAAGGGTGAAAAAGCAAAGTCCACACATGCCATGCTTCGTAGAAAGAATGATGAGCCCGGGTGAGTCATATCTGAGACTAAAAGCAGCAAGCCCGAGTGACTGAAGCTGTGGGCAGATGACAAGAAATCAGGCTGCACAGGGTCCAATGCAAACATCGTCAAGCCCAAGTTTGCCGAAGCGAAGGTGGAGAAGGGTGGGCCTAGACTAGCAATTGGCCTCAACAAAGGTGAGGGGCCAAGGGTTACGAAGTCTGGCACTGATGGGTGTGATCCCAGCTTCATGCGACCAAAGATTGGAAACGCAAATTCGAGAGTTGCTAAACTGTGTAGGAACAGCAATGGTCCCAAAGCTATGCAATCAAGTACCAGCAGCAGCAAATCAAATCTCGCCAAGCCAAGGACTGGCGTTGAGAGTTCAAGGCAACCAAAGCTCTTTGAGGACAGAGCTAAACCCAAACAAGAAACATCCAACGCCAAGACAAAAAATCCTAGTCGCATCTCAGAGAAGATGGAAGGCGAGAAGCCTGAATGCGCTATGCTTCGAATCAACATGCAGAATTCTGAGTGCAAAAGGTCCAGGGCCAATAGAGGGAATCCCATTCTTGAACAACTGAAAAACAGAATTGCAGAGTCAACATACGTAAGTGACCTCAGAAGCAAAGACAAGCCCAACAGGCTACAATCAAATATCAACATCGTGGAACCAGAGCTTGCGGCACCAAACAGCAAGGCAGATGATTCAGGTCTCAGCATACTTCTCGGTAACAAGGAAAGGCCTAGAAGTAGATAATCCAGGATGGACATGGCTCCCTCGCCCTTTCGTGTGCAGCCAAAGATGAAGAGGGCAGAATCAGGGCGTCCCATGCTTCGAATGGACAAGGACGGTCCTATGGTTCCAGCGTCAAATGAAAACGACGGAGATCCCAATCTTGTAACTCCAAAAGTAGAGAGAGGCGAGCCAAAGCTGGCAATGCTTTGAAGAAGCGACAGCAAACCCAGATGCAAAGGGTCAAATGCCAACAGCAAAAGCCCAAATCAAGCTGCACCAAAGACTGAGACGACAAAATCAGGGCAAGCCATGCTTCGCAAGGGCAATGAAAATCCCAAGCTCGCACAATCGGACGCTAGTGGGGTTGGTTCAAATCGCGCGACGCCAAAGAGAGAAAGGCCACTACCCAAGGTGCTCATACTGCGCACCAACACCGGGGATTCAGAGCTCGCGAAATCGAAGAGAAACAGAGTGAGCCCCGTTCAGCTGACACCAAACGATGGAAATGCAAAGCCCAAATGAGCGAAGCTGTGCAGGAATATGGAACTTCCCAAAGCTGCAGTATCGGAGACAGGTGTAATGGAGCCAGAGCGTGTTAGTCCAAAAGCAAAGAAGGGGGGATCAAGACATGCGAGGCTTTGCAACAAAGGTAAGGATCCTGATCTCAAGTAGTCAAGGATCGGAACCATGGAATCAGAGCAGCTGACACCGAAGACTGGAAACATGGACTCAGGCCGCGCCATGGATTGCGACGATGGCATTGATCCCAGCTCAAAGCAGCCCAACAGCAACGTAGAAAAATCACATCGAACAAAACCAAAGATCGACATCACTAAATCAAAACATGCGGAAGATTGCACAGACAATGTTAAGCCCAGCTCGGACATGCCCAGCACCAAAAATAGGAAGCCCAAATGTGCGTAGGAAAAGGTGGAGGAGGAGGGGCCAAGACGTGCGAAGCTGCGCAACAACAAGGATGAGCCAGGCTCCATCACATCAAGCACCAACAGGATCAGTTCAAATCGAGCAAAGCCAAAAGCAGACAGAACTGGGCCAAATGTGCCGATACTTTGCACTGGCAGCGTTGGTTCAAGGCTGCTAAAGTCGAAGACCAAGAGTCGAAAGTCAAGACGGCTAAGGCCAAAGGGCAAGAAAGCCAAGCCAGAACAACTGACTTCTCTCGGTGACAAGGAGGGTTCAAGGTGCAAATAGTCGAAGGCAAATGCAACGAAATCAAAACGACTTCTGCTGAAAAGTAAAAATGGCAAGTCACAATGTGCAAAGGACCTCAGCGACAGCAATAAATCAAAGAACGATTTGTCCGAAACTGACAGGATCAAGTCCAAACGCGCTGCTCCGAACAAAAAGACTATGAAGTCAAAGCAAGCAGGAGCTTGGAAGGACAGCAGAAAGCCAAGGTGAGTTGAGTCAAACATCAAAGGGCTCGAGTCAAATCGTCCACAGCCGAACAAGAGCATTGTGAGGCCAACATGACCAAGTGATCGAAGAAACATCAGCAAACCCAGATGCAAAAGGTCCAGAAGAGACGCTGATGATCCTGGTGCCAACCTTTCAAAGATCGAAAAGGTGAATCCCAGACGCACGACTCCTTGCAGTGACGGCATGAAGCCGAAATTGGCAGGGTCCAACACTGACAGTGAAAATTCTGATCGGGCATGGCTGCGGGCCAACAAGAAGGAGCCCAAGGTGGCGTAGTCCAAGATCAGAAGTGATGATCCCAGTCGTACCGTGTCGAAAAACAACGATGGGAAGCCTGAACGTCCATAGGATCGCAAAGGTGGTGACAATCCCAGGCGGAAGAAATCCAACAAGAATGTCACTGGGCCTGGTCGCACCATGCTGCGAGTGGATGCAGATGACCCCACACTCACAAGTTCCAAAACAAACGGGAAAAATCCCAAGAAAGTCTTCCCCAGCACGGGCAAGGCTGAACCGTAACAAGTGAAGCTTCGGGTTGAGACGCTAGAGCCTGGGAATATGCAATCCAACATTAGCAGAGTGAAATCAAACCGAGCCTGCCCGAAAAGGGACATCATGAAGTCAAACTTTGAGAAGGATCTAAGGGACAGCAACGAATCAAGATGTGAAAGGTCCAACACCAAGGAGGCAAAGCCGAGTCTGACAGGGCTCCGCAGCAACGCAAACGAGTCTAGATTGACGACATCCAGCACCAACAGCAAAAATCCCGGTCGAGTGTATGCACAGGCTGACGTTCTCAAGTCCGGACATGCAAGGCTTTGCATCAACAGGTTGAAACCCAGCTGAGAAAGGTCCAATGTAAACAGCAAAAGGTCGGAACGACTCATACCAAACAGTGATACAGCAAATCCAACGCACATGAAACTCTTCAAAAGCAAGTTCAATTCCGAATGGGCGAAGTCCAAGAGCAACATGGGGCTTTCTGAGCAAGCAAGGCTTTGTACAGGTACAGCAAAGCCGAAGACTGAGGCATCCAACAGTGACAAGGACGAACCCGGACATGCCAGTCCAAAGATTGACATAATTGAGTCAACGCCAATGCAAGAGCGCAGGAACATGAAGAAACCCATGCGCAAGTAATCCAAGGTCAACAACACAGGACCTGTCCTGGCAAGGCTTTGCAGAAAAACTGAAAAGCCTAAGTGTAAGTAATCCAAGACCAACAAACTCAAGTCAAACCGAACACAAGACATTACAAACAATGACAAGCCAAAGTCAGCAACACTACGTACCAAAACCATGAATCCGAAGATAGCCATATCCAGTGATGAAATCATTGAACCGGGATGACACTTGCTGAAAATCGAGGAAGTGCTGTCAGGACACGCCGAACTTTGTGTTGGTGTGGTGGATCCCAGCATCGTTGTGTCCAACATCAACGAGCTCGATCCCAAGCAACACAAGCTCCACGCTGACAGCATCAGACCCAAATGACCACAGCTTTGCAACAAAATCGAAAAACCCAAGTGCAAGAAGTCTGATACGGACATGGCTGGACCCAAACGTGCACAGCTTCGCACCAACAATAAACTGCCAAGAGTTGCGAGGTCCGGCGCAGAAGGCAACAAGCCCAGGCGCATTGGTTGGCAGATTGAGAAGGCCGGGCCAATGTGAGCAAAGCTTTGCAGGAAAGGAGTTGGACCAAATCTTGCAAGGCTTTGTACTAGGAGGGTCGAGCCCAAATGAAGAAAGTCCAACACAGAAACGACGGAGTCTAATTGGGCAAAGCTTTGCATGGGCAACAAAAGTCCCATATTCAAGAGATCAGGAGTAGACGTTGCTGATCCCAGATGGCCAAAGCTTTGCAAAGACAAAGATGGGCCTAGCTGCGTAAGGTCAACTGCTGGCAGAGAGGGTCCCAGCTGAACTTTTCCGAAGACCGACATGACAAATTCCACGGCCGCAAGAGACCTGATAAACATCAAGAAATCAAGATGCAAGAAGTCCAGGACCAAAACCAACAAGTCAAATCTGGCGACATCAGAGATTGGCATTGCGGGTTCAAGCCATCCAAAGCTTTGCAATGACATCAGCAAGTCAAGGTGTCCCAGGTCGGAAGTAAACAGCAGCAGTTCGGATCGTGCCAAGCCGGAAGTCGAGACTGAACTGCCCATGTGGCCGAGACTTCGCATCGAGAAGGAAAAACCTGGGTGCAAAAGGTCCAGTACTGACAGATTCGATCCCAGTTGCGCAAGAGATCGCAATGGCATCAAAGACTCTGAGTGCAGGAAATCCGAAACTGACATCAGAAAGCCGCAGCATGCCAAGCCAATCACAGAAGTGGCAGGAGCAGGTCAGGCAAGGCTTTGCAAGGACAAAGAAAAGTCCAAGTGCAAAAAGTCTGATACAGACATGGCCAAACCAAGTCAAGCATGGCCTTGCAGTGGCAGCAACGAGCCATATTGAGCATGATCCAACACAAACAACAGTGGTCCCAGACAGACAACTCCAGAGGCCAGAGATGCCAGTCCAAGTTGAGCCAGAGATCTCAAGAACATCAAGGGGTCAAGATGCATGCTATCCAGCAGCAGCACCAAAAAGTCCATCCGGGCACATGAAAAAACAGAAGAGGATGAGTCCATACATCCACGAGCACGCGAAGGTAGCAAGGAGCCCAAATGGAGAGAGTCCAGCACCGATGGGAAAGAGTCAGATTCTGCGCAGCTGAAGGGTGGTGGCACCGAACCTGATCGGACTCTGTCCCTGACCGATAGAGTGCTGTCCAACCAAGTAAGGTCCAAGAGCAAAGGTGAAAAGCCACAGCAAGCCATGCCCATGATAAACATCGTGGAACCAAAACATGCCGAGCTTTGTAGTGACAAACTCAAGCCCAAATGCACAAAGTCTAACAGAAGCAACAAGAAACCAAAGCAGCCACAACCAAAGACCAATGCGATGCTTCCCATGCTGCCATAGCTTTGCATCAACACCAGGAAGCCGAAGTGAGCAAAGTCGAACACCAGCAGCAACAAATCAAAGCGGCCTACGCCAGAGGCAGACATGTCACTTCCCAGGTGAGCCATGCTTTGCAACAACAAGAAAGACTCAAGGCAGGCATGGTCCAAGACTAACATCATCGACTCAGCTTGACCAATGCCAAAGATCAGCGTGGAAAAGCCCAACCATACGAGGGATCTGAGAAACAGCATCAGACCTATGTGGCCGCAGTCCAACAAAGGCATGGAACTCCCAGCTCTGACCATTCCGAAAGTTGAGGATGCCAATCCAAACCATGCGGGGCTATGTGGAGGCAGCAGAAAGCCTAATGTGGCAAAGTCCAATGTGGACATGCTGGAATCTAAACGGCATGCACCAAAGAGGGGAAACGCGAAATCAGAAATTGCACAGCTCCTCGTTGGGAAGGGCAAACCAAGGTTGGAGCAATCAAGTGAGGGCATCAACAATTCAAGGCATGACAGGCCGAAGATTGAAAACACCAAGCCCAAACATGCCATGCTTTGCAATGGCAATGACAGGTCGATGGTTGTCGCATCTAAGAGTGAAATCAAAAATCCCAAGCGGCTACAAGAGAAGGGCGACATGGCTGAGTCTACGTGACTGTAGCCTTGCAAGGACGACAACGGTTCTAAGTGGGAGAGATCGAGGACCAACGAAGCAGGTCCAAGTCGTACAAGGGATCGCATTGAAATCGCTGGGTTGGAGCAGGCCGCATCCAACACAGATAAGATGAAACCTGGATTTGCCCTACTGAAAACCAAAAAGGCAAAGCCCGCACAACCATACTCCCTGAATGGCATCAATAAGCCGCAATGGATGCTGTCCAGTACCAAAAACGGAAACCCAAAGCAAGTAATTCCAAATGCTGAAAAAACCGAGTCATAGCGCCCATGATCTCGAAGCGATGGAAATAATCCCAGGCGCAAGTAGTCAAAGGTGAACATGAAAAATCCAAATCTCACTCGACTGAAGGTCAACAGGAAAGAGTCAGGACATCCACAACTTCTTGGCAAAGGTGACAGGTCAAGCTGGAGGTAGTCGAAAGTGGACGTTGACAATCCAAAGCGAACACAGCTAATGATTGAGAGGGCAAAGTCTGGCCAGCCAAAGCTCTTCGAAGAAAGGGACGATTCAGTGGTTGCAAAGTCTAGCACTGAGGGGCTTGAACCCAAACATGTCATGCCATATGCAAGCAGCAGCAATCCCAAATGCATGAACGCACGGGTAGACGTTGAAAATTCTAGGAATCCATGGTCAAGCACTGACAACAAAAGGTCAAAACAGCCTACACCATGAGCAAAGAAGGTCAATCCCATACGCGCGAGACTGCGTAAAGAAATGGCCAAATCAAGTAAGGAGAAGTCCATGACCAACGACAAAAAGTCTAGCCTCACAGAGCCAAACATGAAGAAGGTGGAGCCAGCTCTCATCAGGCTGCGCGAAGAAAATGACAATTCAAGCTGGGAAGAATCCAACAGTGGCATTAGAAAATCGAATCATGACAGGCCAAAGACCGAAATGGTCAATTCCGAACAATTGTGACTTCGCACCAAAAAGGAGCTTCCAACATCACAACTGTCAGAGACCAAAGCCGAAAATCCAAATCTGGCAAGTCCAAAGGCAGAAAACAGACTACCGGTGTGGCACATCGCTCGCAACAAAACCAAGGAGTCAAGAGTTGCAAATCCCAATACCAGCATCGCAGGCCCTAGAGCGCTTCTTCCAAACATAGGAAATGAGAAATCTGGACGTGCCAAGGATTGTGGCGGCATGAATGAGCCGAGCCAACCAACATCCAAAATTGACATGATTGGTTCGGAACAAGCTCTACTGGAGACCAAGAATGCCAAGCCCAACCTTGCAACAGCTCGGGCAAACAGCGACAGTTCGATGAGTACGAAATCCAAGGCCAACATCAGCGGACCAAAGCAGAACCTTCCATAGACTGACGTGCTTGACTCAATGCGAGTGCCGCAGCGCACAGGCGGAGAGGAACCAAGGTGAAGAAGGTCAAAGGCTGAAGGCACAAATCCCATGCAAGATTGCCCAACGAGCGAAAGTGTAAAGCCAAGGCGTCCAAGGGATCTGGTAGACGGCGAAGATCCAAGCCGCAAATAATCCAGAGTCGGCAAAGGCAGGTCGAATCAACCCATGCCCGTCACTGGAACAAGTAAATCTGGACATCCAAAGGATCTCACAAAGGTTGAGCTTCCCAATTGAGAAAGGTCCGACATCGGAAGCGAAGAGCCACAACGGAAGACACCTGAAACAAACATCATCGGCTCCATTCTTGCAAGAGATCGCAGCGGTGGAGAGAATCCTAGGAGCTGGTTGTCAAGCACCAGCATGGAGAAACCAAATCAAGCCATACCAAAGAGCAAAGAAACAGAATCTAAACATGCAAAGCTCCTCAAAGGCAAAAGCAGGCCGATGGTCACATGGTCTAGCACTGGCGATGTGAAATCTAGGTTCACCATTCCATAAACCAACAGCATCAAACCAAGGTGAATGAATGATCTAGGCAAAAACAACGAGTCTATCTGACCAAAGTCCAGGATCGACAAGAGAAGGTCCAACCGTGCAAATCCATAGGTGAACACAAAAGGGCCACAACGTGCGTGTCCATGTAGCAGCGTGCTGGAATCGATATGCACAAGATCCAGAGCAAACGTGGAAGAATCAAGGCAGGCAATGCCATAAACCAACAGCACCGGGTCTGATTGGATAAAGGCTTGAAGAGACATGAAAAAGCCGAGATGGATGAAATCCAGAACAAACATACTGGAGCCCAATCGGCTCAGGCCAGAGACCAACAAGGATGAACCAAAGCGGCAGAGGGAATGCATTGGCAAAAGGAAACCCAGGTGGATGAAATCTAGCACCAACAATGACAGTCCCAACCATGAAATGCCGTACGTGGACATCAGAAAGTCTGAGCACATGGTGGATCTCAAAGGCGTCGACAAGTCAAGGTGGACAAAGTCCAAGACCGGCGGCAGAAAGTCAAGTCGACTGATGCCAAACACGGGCAAAGAAAAGCCAAAGCAAGCAAGGCTTCGGATGGGCGAAGAACTGTCCATGCAGGTATAGTCTGACACGAACGAAGGGAGTTCTAGACAGGTAATCCCGGACAGAGACGAGAAGAGACCAAGTCGCAAGAGAGATCTCAGCAAAGGAAAAGAACCAAAAAAGGCCAAGTCCAAGAGAGGCGAAAGGAATTCTGGGTTCACCAGGCCATAGACCAGCAGCAAAAAGCCCAAGTGTGCGAAGGAATGCATGGACGAGAACAGGCCAAAGCTACCAGGGTCCAATGTTGACAACGACAAGTCCAGTCGGGTGACTCCGAAAACCAAACAGGCGGAGTCCAGTTGCACAAGGCTTCGGATCAGCAGGGCAAATCCCAAGTTACCATGATCCAAGGGTGACATGAACAAGCCCAAACGTGACAGGCCATAAATGGACACAAATAAATCACATCATGTGTGGCCATGTAAGGATGATGGACTGCCAGGGAGCACAAAATCCAAGGCCGACAAGAAGAAACCCGACTTGGAGAGGCCATAGGTGGACGGCGGAAAGCCCAAGTGCGCAAGGCTTCGAAGAGAAAGCACCTGGCGACATGGTAGCAGTTCTACACTTTCCCCAATGGTTCACCCCAACGGTTCAATACATGTTCATACCAAGCATCCCCAAGAATATAGAAACCTGGAAACCATTGGAAACCCACTTTTGTCACATGATGACCTGAAAATCTTAGCTCAGAGTAGCTCTGCAGGTTCCCCCTACTTTTTCATGTCCGTCTACTCAGTTGACACTCCAAAAGATTGACCCTTTTGGATTCACAAAAAAGGGAATCATGGTTACGCTACAGCCTTCTGTAGATTTCTGTTGGGTTGTCATCGCTGGCCAGTACAAACAAACAACAACATGGGGCATCATCTCCTCTACAAGCCCAGCTCACACAGGGCCTGTCCGAAATGGGACTTGTCCCCAAAATGGCTAGTTTAAGAATGTTTAAATTGTTTAAGAGGGAAACTGATGATCAACGTCAACCTTTGGGGATTTTGGGGTTTCTTATTTTTGGATCAAGTCGCCCATGATAACCCCATGTGAACCGTTGCCAGTTGCAATCAGGTCACGAATCCCAGGTGGATGA